CTAAACACAATGATTAACAACCAAAAATAAAAAGAACACATCAGAATGAGACAGTGCTTGGTATACAAAAGAAGACTAACTTTGGATGATGGGAAGATAAGTGGATGGATGAAATAAAGTTAATAGGGAGGAGTAATTAGAAAGAAACAAGTAATCTTAAATTGATACAAAAAAAATGCAAAAAATGCTTTCAGTTACACTAAGTAATGAGTACATATTACTGATAAACTGCAAGAAAGTTATTTACCAAATTAAGAATTTTTCTACTAACCAAGTATGACGTTTTCAATTAGAAATTACTGAGAATGGCAGTCATTTCACCAAGATTTATTTCTTTCTTAGAACTTTTAGGTAGCTAATCTGGAAGATAATCTGTCATCTGATAGGTGTATAATGATCAGAGAGAGAGAGAAAAAAAAAAAAAAAAAAAAAAAAAAAAAAAAAAAAAAAAAAAACAAAAAAACTACTCTTCTCTAAAAGCCTGTATACATACCTTAGAATAACTAGCCAGTTCAGGAAGTTAACAAGAACAAGGTAGTTCCTGAGATCTGGGAAAAGGAAATTTTCCTCTCTGCCTTACACACATCATTCCCTGATGGTTTAATCCTAGATTGAATTTTCATTTTTATTTATAGGGCTTTAGAAGAGTAAGAGAAGCCCTGAGAGAAAAGACCAAAAAGTGAACTAATTTAATTAGCCAGAATTTCATGCAGAATTTCATGCAGCCTTTGTTTTAAAAGGCTAAAAGGGAAGGGAAGAGAAGGAAAAAAGCTTACAAATATTTATACAAATTCTAGAAGGACTAAAACTAATATTCTACAACTGGTTCACATCATGTGTAAGGGGAAGGAAAAAAAAGAATATATAGATTGATAAAGTTTGTATAACACTCTAAAATAACCATTCATATTTCCACATATCAAACAAGCAACTGTTTTTGCTTTCTTAAGTAACCCTTAGAGTCAATGATTAGTGTTCCAAGTAAGATTGGAAATACAGTTCCCATAAACAGTTCTAGTCACAGGAAATTTCCTACATTTAAGCTCAGCCATACTTTCTACAGGTCATCAGCTAAAACACTAAAGTCTCATCTTTATAGTAAACTACTGGTTGATACACTTGATCATATTACAGTAAAACAAGAGCTATGGAATACTCTCCCATTCCTGCAACATGATTTCATTAAATGGTTGGGCATCAGTTAAATACTAAAATTAATTTTTTAAATCTTACAATTATCCAGTAACATTTAAACAACACTGCTTAAGTAGACATAATATATTGAGTGAAATATGTAAAATGACAACTCAACCATCCCTTGAAGTAATCCTAATCAATCTTTTAACCAATAATATATAATTTCTCTCAATTTTTTCCTGTAAGCAGTGACTACTACATTGTTCTCAATCCTTTTTGACTTCAAATTCAGCCCAGATCTATACTAAAACAAAGAACTTGTTGGGAGAACTGTAGAATTTAAAATGTGTTTCAAGTTTTAGGTAGCATATTGTAATAGCAAAAGTGTTTTAGCCTTTGAGTTTAGAAGCAAAAGGAAAAGTTATAGGTAGGAAAAGTCTAGTGAATTTGGAAGTTTATCTATACTTTAAAGGTTAAATGAATTTTGCACCAACCAACGGTGAGCATTTGGGAAGACTTATATATAAAACTGTACCAAGACATGTTATACAGATTATCATAACCAAATCTAAGTTGCTTCCATTGATGACAGAAATAATGGCAACAGATAGGGAGAACTGGTACAGATATATTAAATTGTTTTAGATCAAATACTAATATACCACCAAGGAAACTGTAGATGTGCAAGGGACCTTACAGATCATCTAGTCCAAGCCTTTTCATTTTACAGACAAGGAAACACTCCTGGTTGACACTTGCTTAAGGCCAGAGAGTTAGTTGCAGAGCTGGGACCATAAGCTAAATCTCTTATCTGGTACTCTATGCGAGGTCATCTTTGGATATAAAGAAAATTAGTGGGATGGACTAGATTGGTGGCTCTTGGTATTTCTATTCTTATACACTGACAGAAACCAAAAGCTGTTTTACTCCTGAAACTGACAACATTTAATACTCCAAATTATTAATGTCTTACTTAATTGCTGTGGAAATTCCACTAAGACTACATGTACATTCCTCCAACAGTATTTGTAACCCCACTGTTGCAATACTTAACTGTATCACTTGTTTAGCAAAATAGTCTCAATAACGGAGAAGACCTTCAGGAGAGACTTTTGAAAAATTGATAAGAATTAACAAGGGTGGTAATTGTCACTCCATTATTGGAGATTTAAATATGCATTCATTCGTTAATTCATCCAACAAACATCTGAGTGCCCACTATGAGCCAGGCTTTGTGATAATCACTAGAGATAAAAAGATGAATAAGACATGGTCCCCTTCCTAGAGGAGCTTGTAATTTAGTGGGGAAGACAGACATATAAACCAGATAAATTATATTACAACATAAGTACTGTAACAGAGATATGAACAAAGTGCTGTATTAGAAGGGAGTGTAAAGGTATGAACTAACTAATGACCAGGAAGTCTACTAATTTTGTGCAAGAACTACCACATTTACTGCAAACACAATCTCATGCTCAATCAATAATTAGGAAGGAGTAACAATGTAGAAGTAAAAAAAAAAAAAAAAAATTGGCACTGAAATCAGAATGCCGGCATTTAAATCTAGTCCTTTCACTCACTAGCTGTGACTTTGGGCAAGTCACTCCAACTCTATTAGCCTAAGTTTCCTTATCTGTAAAATGGGAATCAGCAACTACTTCAAAGGGATATCTTAAGTTTTAAATCAGAAACATGATAGTACATACAGAGTACTAGTATTTACAAACATTAATTTTAAAAACCCAATCATTAAATACTAAGTAATATTTATAGCTAAGATCTTATTAATGAGAATAATTGTGACCCTAATGAATGTGTGTAATGTTTAATCCCCATACTTTGGGACCAAACTGAAACGCTTGTTTTCTGATTCATTCAAAGCAATATGGCTTAAGAAAACATTTTAATTTTGGGTTACTAGAGAATTTAAGACTAGGGAAACTGATAAGCTATTTATGGATTTAAATAAGTAGGAAGTAATTATTCTACAATAATTTTTAAAATATCAGGCTAAAATGTATTAATCAAATTATAAAGCCAAAAATCAGCATGGAGATTTAACTGGCCTTTGAAAGATTTTCTTTCTTTATAATACCTGTTTGGTGTAAAGAGAAGAAACGTGAGCCTCTGCCAATTTGGCACCTTTCACGACTACTAAAAAGAAAAGAAAACAAACTTACCTAATGAATCAGAATAGCACATAGTCAACATACAAGAGACTACATAAAAATATATCACAGATCTAAGTAAAGAAGTTTTTGAGTAAAGTCACTATTTTGACAAAAGAAATTGATTTTGAAATTTTAAATATTAACACGTGTACCAACTGCAAGCCCAAACATTCCTATGAAATAGCATTATCATCAGGAACATATATACAACTTTAACCCTAAGTGTGGGAGGAAAAAAAAAAAAAAAAAGAGGAAAAGCATCCATTATTTACCCCACTGACAGAAGATTATGGTGTTTGGAATTACAGTTGTGACTGTGAGGATCCCAGTATGGGAAGAAAGTGATTTTTTTTTTTTTTTAATGTGACATTTAATATAATCACTATAATCTCAGGAGGGGCAGGAACACTTGCAACTGAAACGATGAATTTTAAAAGATAAATAGGTAATCTCCCACCCCCTCAATCTACAAAGAATGCATTTATTTCCTGAAACTGCTGTTTTATCAACTTTCAATGATCACGTTCATTTGCCAGAGAAATCCACTTAAAAATCACAATATTGTGTCAAATGTCAAAGATTTTTATACAAAGTATAGGAAATGCACACTTAAAATATCAGACTGGAACACTTACCAAACAGTGTTTTCCTAAAGTAGTATCTATAGTACATTTCTTTATTCATACATCTTCAAATGGTCAAGTTTTCTTTCATACATCCAAAATGTAATGTGATGTTTTCTTATTCACCAAATGTTAGCTCTACTTGAAGTCTGGTTCCAAACTAATCAGCCTGCTTTTAAATTTTAAGACAGCTGTTGAAAATTTATAGGATCAAACCAAACTGAAGTGGTATAAATTTTTAACATTGGATTGTACATTATTTGTAAAGGTACCAATAATCATTATTAATAAGTTAGTGATTATAGCTCCTTTTGTGATAATTGGGGGGAAGGGTAGATCACCATCTGGAATGGTCTATTTATTTTAATTTTTTTTCTTTTCTTTCTTTTTTTTTTTTTTTTTTTTTTTTTTTTTGTCATTTTCTTTTCTTCTCTTTTCTGTTCTTTTCAAGAGACCATTCCGCTTTATTTTTAACATCTGAATGTATAAGGACTCATATGCAAAGCAGTCATACACCGTTATCATTAAAACCCATATGGTAAAATACATACACAAGTCCAACAAAAGGCTAATACATAGTAAAGCCTAAGCATACTACTATGTAATATTATGAATACATAACTTGGAGACTTTAGTTAGAGTACTATGTTATCTATTCATTTTTGAAAACATTCATTAAGATTTTAAATGCAAATTCATTCCTTATTTGGAGTAAAACAAAATCCTCTAAGTTATAACAAGTATTGGTCATAAGTTTTTAGACCTATTCATTAAATTACAAAGAACCCAAAGAATTCTGTAATGTTCAGTAGAAGTATGTAATAAAAACATTGCATATGTTTCTAGTGTGATGTCTTTAGCAATTGTTTACTGAAATAAAATGCAAACATCAATCTTTCAAAATACAGGATCAGAAGGTAGTTTTCTTCTCTTTTGTCTATTTGTGAAATCCATCTTCATCACATTTTACCAAAAAATTGTTTTTACAAATATGTAAAAGTACATTAGATAATACTAATGAAACACAGGTAGAGTTCTAGCATATGCAGATCAATGATCAGTCAAATCATCTTCTCCAAGAACGAGATTCATTGTCCTCTTCTTCTTCATCATCATCTTGAAGTAATGAGTCATCCACCAAAGACTCTTCCTGAAACTTTAGGTTAAAATGCATTTAGGAATTTACCCAAAAAAAAAAAGAAAAGAAAAAAGGTGACACTTTTAAATACTGATTTCTCTCAACAGAGTCGAATACAAAAGGTATTTCTATAGCTACAATATTCAAGAAACAAAGAAAAGCAACCTTTATCCACTCAATGGTTTCTCTACAGTATCTATTCTATTGCTTCTATCAAACAGGCACTAAAAAAATATCTAAGTAAGCTTTTTGTACATGCCATTTCTCCTGCCTCACTCAATCAAATTATGCCATCTTCTACACCTACAAAACATTGCTCAATACCTTTTGTTGGAAAAAAAAAAAAAAGAAAAAAAAAAGAAAAAAGAAAGAAAGAAAGAAAAACATCAATAAATCTTCTCTGACTTACCCTAACCCTGGACACTAAATCAACCAATTAACTTGTAGAAAAGTCTATCAAGATTTATACTTCTTTTCTGCTATATGTAACAAACATTTCTTTTATAGAATTCCTTGCTTTTCCCCATTCCCTTCATAAAAGCTTCTCAGACTGCTTTTCAAACTTTTCAAAATACCTAATACCAGGAGCTCTCCTGCTTTTCTCCCCATTCAATTCAAACTCATGGAAGGACAAAGGTATAATCTAAAATATAAAATGACAAATCATGTATATGAGTTTCAAAATACACATTTTATTCTTGCATTTGACTACGGATATGTATAACAGCCTCGAATGCTCTTCAAACAAAATGAAGTGCCATTACAAGAATCTAACAAAGGTAAAACATGGAATCAGTTCCCCACCTTACCTTTATTTATTAACTTCCTCAACTTTTTCCTACAGCTTATTTCATGATTAAGATAGAGTTGCTTATTTTTAAGTGTATGGTTTCAAAGTGCTCTCCCATTTCATTGTTCCTTGTGCTTACACCTCTAAGCCACCATACTAATTGCTGTACCCAAGAAAAAGGGACTCTTCCATACCTATTCCTCTTCCACACCTAAAATGCCTCTCTCAACTATATTCGCAGTCCCAGCCCTTGGTTATGGAAAGCTTTCTTATCCTTCAGGGTTCAGCTCCACTGTCACCACCTTCTTCAAGATTCTTCTGGACAGAAATAATCACTCCTTCCCGTGGGTTCCCACAGCGTATTGTTCAAATCTTTATTGAGCATATCACTCTGCCTTTCATTAGAATTAATTTTTTATGTGTCTGTCACCACCCCCCTTTCCAGATTATAAGCTCCTTGAGGATAGGGACCGTGTCTTATTCATTTTTGTGCCTATCACAGTATCTACCATTTAGCAGGCATTCACTCTAATGAACTAAAACAATATGAATTAAAATAAAGGAAACCTGAAATGTTAATAAAGCAAATGAGTAGGATATATACTCTAAACTTAAAATATTACAAGAGTTCCTGTGGATAAAAATCTAATGAATAATTATTGTTTTCTAAGAGTAAATGAAAACTGAGTATGTGTGTGTATATGTATATATATATGTATATATATATGTATATATATATACATATATATATATATATGATTTTCTTTTTCTTTTCTTTCTTTGGATTAGCAATCCACAGTTCTCATTAATCCAGAAAATTTAAAGTTGTCTGCATTTATCTGACATCCCCTGCCTGGAATATGGCTCAGGAATAAAAGTTTTATGTTAAAATCACAGCCATAAAATCACATTTCATAAAAAATGTGAACATTTGAGGGCAAAGACAAATTAAAAAAAAAAACATACTTCCTCTTCATCAGGTTCAACTTCTTCTGTTTCAACAGCTGAAATATTAGTTATTGGTTTATTCCATGCCAGTTTTAGATCCTGCCCTTTGAAACGAGCTCCATGAACTGCAGCCTAAAACAATTAAGAACATTAGAATGTAGAACATTAATAATTTCTGAAGAAAACAATGAAATGTTACAGTACTTAATATTTAAATCAGTAAAACAAAAGTGAAGACAGCTATCCGTTTACTTTGTGGTTATTTCTCCATTTAATATTTATTATTATATTTATAATTTACTTTTTATGGTTATTTACTTCTAAAATCAGTCTTGTGATTGGAAATACCTTTAAACAGGAAACAAGAACACTTTCTCATACTTCAACGAAACTACTTTACTACTGGCCGGTATCTGACTAGAGAACTATGTCTACATGTTTATAATACAATGATAACTGCTATTCAAGCAACAATCTCAAACCATTTCAAGATCTTGGCTGTAGGTTCTGAACTGAAGTCTCAATGAGAATACAAGGCTAAATGTATCTTAATGCATTTTAATTCTTGTTAATTTACAAATGACATATGTAGTAACTACAAACTGGAAACCTTTAACAAATATAATAATTTTGCATGCGTAAAGTATCATATTATTTTAAAATTACAGTAGTTTAAAGTGTCACATTATTTTTAAATTTACGATGTATGACATATCACTGTTACAAAACGTAAGTATCTCCATGAGAAAAGAAACCCTGAATGTTTCTATTGAAACTAAAGTACTTCCTACAAAGCTTTCAGAACTGCATAGGATATAAGTTAAACTTAGTATTTGTTACATTAAGTGGCTGGTGAAGAAATCGTCCATTCAAATTAAAGTAACATGAACTAATAATATAAATCAATGTTAGCAACATACTGAAATAACTCATAGTCACAAAAGATTTATAGTACAACCTCAAAGTATAGCATAATGTGAAATCTAGATACAATTACATGTTCAATGACAACTGATCGTAAGTTGTATGACATTAAAGTCTCTAGGTATAAATTTTAAATCTGCACATAAAAATCTATGATAAATTTAAAAGATTCTGTGCCTATTAAAATGCAGCTCAGGAGGAGTTTTTAGTCCATGGCTTCATCACAGTGTCACGTAACTGAAAGAATTGTTAAGTACTTATATATGATATCCCACTTAACAACTTGCAAGTTTTTAAACCTGTAACTATTACATAAAAATATACTACAGTAATATATGTACATATATATACACATATTACCGTAAGGAATTCGAATAGACTCATGCAAAATGTCTACTCAGAAAGTCCATCTTTTCATCTAGTTAAAAAAGGCCAAAAATTTCACTGACATTTTCTATAGGTTCTTGACAAACATTTCTGATGACCTAGTATTATAAATCTCTATATTTAGCACATACATCTTCAAATTTATAAGGTGAGTCTACAACTCTCTGAAGTTTTAATTTTAACATTTTACAGGATGATTTTCAAAATTAGATGAACTAGTTAGAACATTTATCAATGTTCTCCAATAGAAACTTTTGACTATTTGGCTGTATAAATTTTTGAGATAACGGAGTCCTTGCTTTGTGAAGAGGCAAATTTATTTTAGATAATCTGCAACATAAAATCTTTAAAGTTAAAAAAAAAAAGTTCTGCAACCCACCCATTTTATTATTTAAAAAATTCAAAAATTTCAGGTCACATAATATAAAAAATTGTAATTCATGATTAATCCTTCCCAAAGAGATAACCACCATTCCATGAAGAATTTGGGAAAAAGCTCTGCAATACACTAAAAAAAGTCCTGTACACATACTAAAAGGGTTTGTGTATATACATATGTATGATATGCACATGGGAACATACTTTACATCATATTTAAACTAATTTCTTGAATGGAATTTTGTCATATTTGGCAAAATACTCTTTTCTCAAATGGATCTGGATTTTTGTTTATAATGCATGTTTTTACTGCTGTTGTATTTGTCATAAAGAAGCTTAAATTTTCATGTTCTGTAATTTATCTATGTTGTGCCAGTCCTTTAAAAAGCCTTTTCTACCTAGGATTATTTTCAGAGATCCCCCAGCTTTTTACTAGTCACATGTATTAAAAAAAGAAAAAAAACTTTTATTCATCTTGATTTTGATACCAAAAATAAAGACATAATAATGTACTATTTTTTTCCTAACCGTCCATTGTCCTAACACTCTTTACAGATTATTCAGTAAATTTAAATTCCCTGACTTAAATAAAGCATTTCCTTGTAATCCTCTATAATTTTTATATATACTTATTATGTCTTTTCTAGATCAATTTTGTCCTAGTCTCTATCCATACCATTACTATATTCTTTATTTCATAATGAATTTGGTATGCTTTTCAGAATATTTTTGGTTATTCTGACATTATTTTGTCCTATGACCTGTGGAATCTTTTGGCCAAGTCTAGTATCATACTGTGTTACTGATGCTTAATAATATAGTATCAGCTAGATCAGTGCTTTTCATTTCTGTGGCATCTGCTTCAAGAGTTCTGCCACCATTTTATTAAAATGTACATTAAAAAATGAACTTCATAACTACTTATAAAATGTTACTAAAAAAACATGTTTAAATATATTCCAGGGGATGCTTATCTGAGCAAGGTGGCAGTGGTCATAAAGGTGGAAGTGGGGCTCAACATAAAAATATACAAAAGAAAGGAAAGTGGGAGCAAGTAACTTCAGAGAAAGATATGAGGAAGAGTCAGAGGAAGAAATTAAATTTGCTCATCTCAATGTAAACAGTTGATAATCCAAATGAAAAATTACCAAAGTACCAAAGTAAAGCCAGAAAAGGAAAATATATATATAAACAAATCTTTTCTAAAGAAAAAGGTTTTAAAAAGATACATGGTCTAGGGGGCGCTGGGTGGCTCAGTCAGTTAAGCGTCCGACTTCAGCTCAGGTGGTGATCTCGCAGTCTGTGAGTTGGAGCCCTGTGCTAACAGCTCAGAGTTTGGAGCCTGCTTCAGATTCTGTGTCTCCCTCTCTCTGCCCCTCCCCCACTCACGCAGTCTTCCTCCGTCTCTTAAAAATGAATAAACGTTTAAAAAAAAAAAAAAGATTACACGGTCTAAAATCAGTAAACCCTGATAATTTCACAGATAAATTCTATTAAACTTTTGAGAAAATATATCTCCAATGCTACTTAAAATTAACTCAAAGCAAAAGATGGAAACTTTTCAAGTAGTTTCTATGAAGTCAGGTAAAACGGATAAATGATAAAAAATAATATCCGCTCCCCCAACCTACAAACCAATTTTACTTTTGAAAACTGAATTAAAAGTAAAAATAAATACAAGAATAAAACCTTGTCATTTGCAAAATCATGGATGAATCTGGAGACTATTATGCTAAGTCAAGTCAGAAAAAGACAAATACCACATGACTTCACTTACATACAGAATCTAAAAAAACAAAAACAAACACTCTTAAATTCAGAGAACAAACTGGTGGTTGCCAAAGTCCAGGAAAAGGGTAGGGGAATGGCGAAATACACATAGGAGATTAAAAGGTAAACTTCTGGTTAAAAATAAAAAGTCACAAAAATGAACAGTATAATACAGGAAATATTAAAACTGTAATAATGTACATGGTGATAGATGGTGACTACACTTGTGGTGAGTACTGAATAATGTAGAGAATTATCAAATCACTATGCTGTACACCTGGAACTAATATAACACTGTATGTCAACTATATCTCAATAATTTTTTTTAAAAAGTGAAACAAAACCAAAAACAAAAACAAAAAACAAAAAACCAAAGAAGAGACTTCAGATTTCAGGGAATTATCAAAGAAATACAATACTGTGGGAATTTATACCAGAAGCAAATAGTTCAATTTTAGGAAACAATATAAATAGATGAAAGAAAACAAAAACCCTCAAATTTCTAACAAATACACAAAAGTTATGATATAAAATCTGTTTTTGATAAAAACCCAAAAATCTCTACAGCATTCAAAAATGGGAATCATTTGCATGCTACCTTCACCTAAAAAGTCAGCATCATATATATTACTAAAAGTATTAAAAATGTTTTCATTCATTTACCATTTTCATTCATTTCATGAACAACGAATGACACTTCATGAGTGAGTAAATGAGTAAATACACAACTACTACTACTGTTATTTAACATTTTTCTTTTTTTATTTAAGGTTTTTTTTTTTAATGTTTATTTTTGAGAGAGAGAGAGAGAGAGAGAGAGAGAGTGAGCGCAGGAGAGGGACAGAGAGAGAGAAGACACAAAATCCGAAGCAGGCTCCAGGCTCTGAGCTGTCAGCACAGAGCCCAACGCAGGGCTCAAACTCACGAACTGTGAGATTATGACCTGAACTGAAGTCAGACACTTAACCAACTGAGCCACCCAGGTGGCCCTATTGGATAACATTTTTCTGAAGGTACTAACAATTAAACAACACAAAGTAAGAAGTTATAAACATGAAAGACGAAGGTAAAACTACCATTACTTAGTGTTATGATTGAATGAATACTTGACAAAACCAAAAGAACAAAATATAAAACTATCAAAAGATAATTTGGTAAAACGACAGTTACATATTTAATAAAAACAAATAGTTTTTCTACATACAAACAATCAAGAGAAAATACAATGGAAAAAATACCTCGTTTAAAGTAACTTTAAATGACTGGGGAGAACTACTAATATATTTACCTATACAAAGAAATTATACATATTGTTTATATATATTTTATATTATATAATCTGCAACACATGTATATTACCTATATCTTACATATAAATAAAATACATACAAATATATATATATCTAATCTATATAAAGAAAATCTTTAAATGCTCTCAGAGGATAAAAAAGGATTGACATACAATGATATGCTAGAGGAGTATTTAGTATCATAAAGATGTTAATTCTACTATAAAGTATTCTTCTTTTAGAACCAGGTAAGTAATTTCTAAAGTTTATATGAAAAATAAACACATAAACATCTACCACGAAGATTCTGAAAATGAATAATAATAGCTGGGCATAATAAGAGGGAATTCAAACAACAGCCTTGAAAAGCTATTAAAATATATTATAAAGTTTAGCTTAATTAAAGGTGAGGAAGAAGCACATGGAAAGAAAACTGATCAATGGAAGAGAACAGTACTAAGTAAGAGTACCCTTACATCCTACAGGTGAAATTATGGGAAAACTAGCTTTACTCAATGAAATCAAGTAGACACCTAGTTTATCCCTTACATCAAATAAAATTCTTATGAATTTTCATAAAAATGTTTAGAACTCATGAGCTAATTTTCTAGTATATAAAGAATTCCCATAATTCATTCAGAAAAAAAAATCAGTAGAATAGACAACTCAGCAAAATAATAGGCAAATGACACAAATAGTTGACAGAAACAGAAATAGAGTATTTAAACATGAAAATGTTCAACTTCAATCATAAAAGTGTATTAAAAATGAGTTGCTATTTTTACCAAAATAAAATTGTCTGATATCTCACGATGGCTTATGTACCCATGTATTTTACATAAGCAAACCACCATGCAGAGTACACACATATGGCAAGTGTATGGCAAAAAGGCATTCTCATACATCTTTGGTGGGCAAGCAAATGTGGTACAACCTATATGGGTGGTGGGTGGTGGGCAATTTCAGAACTTTTAAATGAATATATCCTTTCATCCAGCAATAACGTTATCAAGAATATATCTTATAGTCATATTCACATACATACATAGAGAAATATTCACCAAGAATATTCACTGCTACACTGTAAAAGAATAAAAACAACTTAAAGTCCATTAACATGGTTGATTATGTTTGGTATATCCATTTGGGGACAATCTCTCACTTTTCAGTCGTATTTGAATGTCTCATGTACCTTATTTTGTACTTTCACTTTGAAATATTGTGCATCTACTGATTATAGAAAATACAGAGACATTCATTCACTCATCTAGGACAATGGTTCAGTAAGAACAATGATATATTTGGAAATAAACACCGAAAAAGGTTGACAATTTTTTTTTTCCCCTTGGGAAGACTTATCACTTACCTTGAGTTTACATCCGCTTATATTTTTGGTGTTAAAATTTTATTCATTTTATAAAATGATGATGATGGTGCATGAAATTTGGTTTGTACTTTTAACGCATTTTCCTTGATAAAATTAAAAACTGATACCTCTATGTCAACACATTAATTTTTAAATTCCTAAACGTTAATGATCCAGGATATCCAGAAGTTTGAAAACCAATGCCTTAGCCTATATATCCTGCTTGTAGAAGATCAGCTTCAACTTAATTTTCTATTCTCTTCTACAATAGGAAGGTTACAAAATTTTAAGAATTTTTTGGTTTAAGCAAATGATTATGATTTAACAACTTGCCTAACTTAATTTCAAATGTGTATCATGGCAATGGTAGTTCTTCGTTTCAGCCTATTGAATAATTCCAACTAAAATGGTATTTACTCTGAAAAGGTAATTCTTTATTATATCGAACTTACTTTGTCACATATTCAAACTCCATATAATTCAGCGTTAAAGTCTTGTTTATGCATTAATCCCTAGTCTTTTGAATTGATTGCTATTCATTTGGAAAACATGAATTGTATTTTACACACACACACACACACACACACACACACACACACACACACACACACACGTGAGGTGGAAAAAGCAACACCCAAGAAAAAAGGTATATGTCAATAAATCTTCTAAGAGCAAAACTTCCAATACTTATTTCAGGGGTAAGAGGTTTTTATTCCTCAGTCACATAAGCAAGGAGAAGTTTTAACAACGACAGCTACCATTGTTTTATGACTACTGCCTAGAAAATAGAACATAAAGAGACATACTCAAGCTACCTAACATTACACCGAAAATTGTCACTAAAGCATCAATTAAAGGAAGCTTATTCTTAAATTATACTCAATAATACTTTTTGAAAAAACCTGATCAAAGATTTACTTTGGTTAAGTACCTGACTCCTTCCTCTCTCTCTCAAAAAAAAAAAAAAAAAAAAAAAAAAAAAAAAAAAAAAAAAATTTATAAAGTATTTTAAAAAGGGTTTAGTTTTTAATGTAACATATATACATACAAGTTTTAAGAAGTTTTAAACTCTCATCAATAATACTCTCACAAACGATCTTTAAGTGAAAAGATTACTTAAACGAGATTTAAAACAACATAACTCTAGGATCCATTCCTATTCTATAAAATGATCCACCTCCTACATCACTGATCTTAAAACTGGTTATTCCAGGGCCCCAGCTGAATGCTTAACTAAGATTTTTCAGACCCACACTCTTTTACTGGTTATAATGCCCCAAGAGCAACTCCTACCAGGTTAGGTCCCCAATAAGGTATCATTGTGTTGTCAGGGAGTATTCACTATAAAGAAGATAAATCAATTTAGAAAGTGTTTTTAAACTTTAATTTAGACCACAATCAAGTTAAAACTTCTTAAAGGCATACCACTCTTCCATTCACATTAGGTTAACTGTTTGGAACTCTTACAGCATTTTTCCAAGGACAAAATGGTACATGTATCTCTCTATAATCCTGAAGAAAGAACACACAAGGCTAAAAACATTTCCTATAAATCTCCCACACCTCATATACATTTTCCTTTTTTTTAATCCTTTAAACCCAGATGAAAGACAAGGTTGCATATACTTGGCCATTCTTTGTAAAGACAATTCAAGACACATAGTTTAAGATTACTATAAAGACCCTAAAAGCTAGAGCTATATATCATACATTGCAAAAAGTTGTAGAGGCCTAGTTGGGGGGTATGCTAAGCTAGGGACACTTCTTTAGAGTTCAGCTTACTGGGACTAGTAAGTGGCGGATGAGAGATGGCTTACAAGGACTGCCATCAGGATTGTATCTTAGCTTCTACCTTATCTCTCATCACTCATTCTCCCAAAGCAGACTTTGTTCTGGGCCAGCTGAGAAAAAGGGTAATGGAAAGTGGGATGGCCCTATCCCAGGTGAAAGAGAAAGGAAGGAGAAATGCTGGTGTCTCAAGACAATACAACTTAACATTCAACTTGGTAACTATTCTATCATGTTATAAACAGAATTGCCTAACTGCTTTAGGACATTCTTTGTGGCCATGAATTCCAATTCATATGACCTATCTACTGTCAAAGTGCAGTTATCTAGTAATTAAAATGTTTTCCTTTATATTAAAACTTAAAAGAAATATTTATAAAACATTTAAATCTGAATTTTCAATAAATTAGATTTCTAATACTTACTGCTTCAGCTTCTGCTCTTGTCTTGAATGTAATTACTGCATGAAGTGAAGAGTCATCAATCTGACAATCTTCAATTTCACCATATTGCTTTAAATTAAAAAGAAGTATTTTCTCCAAATAAATATTTTGAAACATCCAAAATCCTAATGGTTTTTAAAACACCAATAAATGTAACCCAGAATATATAACAATTCATGGTGATTAACAGAAAAAAAGATGAATAATTCATTTAGTACTTGATGTTACAAGATAAAGAGTGGTCCTGTTTACAATTCTACACTTTTTAGAATTAGGGAAACTTATACTTGATTGAACTGTGCTTTAAATCAATGAAAGAGTGTCAAACACTGGGTTTCCTTATTGCCTTTCCTTGTACACTCGTTATTCCAATCCCGTAACGTGCTACCTTCTTTCTAAAACAGAATATTTAATCCTCAGAATTCATATTTTTGTGTGTGCCGTTCTCAATTTAAAGATGGTGCAAATAAAAAGAGTCAGAATTTAAATAATTTTCCCAAAGTAATTTAGTTAAATACCAGGAGAGTCCAGGTCTTTTAAGTTTAACATTCAAACTGACCCTGCTTTCACTCTTAACACATACTCCTGTACACCACACTCTTATAAAGAGTTAAACAGGTTAAACAATGCTTGCTTCTGGTTTGCTGGATTTTATTTTTTCCGTATGTAGAAAGATTTTTCTACAAACAACCTTTATCATATAAATTTCTAGCCCTTTATATATCGTCACTAATACCTTTCTTCTTTTTTACCCCAAAATAAAATTATAATTATAATCTCATTAAATACACACGCACACACTCTGTATCGAAAATTTCTATAAAGATAATGGACTCTAGAATCTGTTCTGTCAGGTACTAGCTGTGTGAACTTGAACAAGTTACATAATCTCTTCATGCTTCATCTTCATCTCTAAAGTGGGCATAATAAAGGCACCTACCTCAGAGAGTTGTTGAAATAATTCATAATATATTGAATTATATAAGGCACTCAGAATAATATCTGACACGAAATAAATGCTCTATGATTTTTATTACTTCTACTACCACTACTACTACCATCACCACCACCACCACCGGGCCCAGTGGGTAAACTAAAGAAAGCATTTCGTTAATCACAATTTGTAACAGTCAACAGTCCTATGAAAATGTAGGTTCTTTTCTGTTACTTGCCACAGGTTCAAATTCCAGGTTGAGACAGAGAACTACGCTTTAAACCTGCATTCTTAAAGACTGATCATTTTTAAATGTGCATTACCACTACTAAATTTGGACTTTCCAGACTCCTCTTCCTTAAATATTAATTTTAGTAATTTCATAAACATATCACTTTTTTCAGTAACTCTCTATGTCCCAACAAAGTATAGTTTCACCTTTGTAACTTCTGTTAACAGCTTAGAATGTGACTGTCAAACATATAAATCTGAATTTGCAAAAAGATTTAATCTTTTCTGTAAGCTTATTGATCCTTCAAGATCTAAGTTCCAGTTTTACTGCCTTATGAAATTTTCTACTATCCTTTTTCGATCATATGCCTGTGTAAAAGATACTTCTCTAAGTTACTACTTACAGTTTTTAATAAATGTAACTTGATTATGCCATAAATTATGTTTATAATTTACTTTAACTCATCTGTTAAAATAATATATATAAAATTCTTGGAAGGTAAAGAACTGGTTATTTCCTACATATCTCCAGAGCAATTACTATAGGCCTGAGGGCATGACTGATGCTTAGTAACTAACCTTTGGGATACCACTAATCACAACATTTAAGTTGAAACGGCCTTTAAACAAATATAATTTCCATTCTGCACATGAGCCAAATGGATCCCAGGAAGTCCAAGTTAAATAATGGCTTAGCCAGGACTAGAATCTCATTCTCCTTTCTCATAAGTCAGTCAGTCTGTATTAGACTGTATACCCTGGCACTGACTAAGGCAACTTCAAGATCATATATCAAAATTCCATCTTGTTTCATTTCTAAGGTCAGCTAGATCAAGAATACAGTATTAACAAATAAAATTCCATCGTAATTTAAAAAATCTGGATGGCTTACATATGTTAACTTTTCCCTTAAAAGTATTAAATGACACTAAACTACTGAACTTTTCCCTCTGCAATAGCAAAGTTTAAATCATTCATTTCACAGTATCTGAAGGCCTACTAGGTGTTAAGAATGGTAATGTTTCTTCCAGATAATAAACAAACAAAAATATGTCTGCTTTTTAAATAATTAACAAAAGATAATTATAGATTAATCAAACCCTTTGGTCAGATTAATGGGATTAAATTACTCATCATTTTCATAATTTCTCCTTTAATCATTATCCCCAACAATGACTATCAGTACTTGTTTTGTTGGACAGTAAGAAAGTACCGCAAAATGAGGAAGAAGATCTTCTCTATCACTCTCTGTAAATGCAGAAATTTCCAATGCCCTGGGACGATGATCCACCACAGCATGACCAGGCACACCTCGACCTCGACCTCGACCCCTGCCTCGGCCGTGAGCTGCACCTCGACCTCTTGAGTGAATTCCTCTACCCCGACCAGATGAAAGAATCCCTCGTTTTGCAGCCTTGAAGAGATTATAGACACACAAGTTAAATGCCACAATTTCTAACACAAGCCACACGTTATATATACTCTATCAAACTTTTATACAATCTGATATCATATTCAAATACTGGCTTAGAAAAGGGTATCATAATTTAAGTTAAGGCTTTAGTTTTTAAAGTGAGCGTAAACTTAGGTAGCTAATGCATTTAGAAAACAAACAAAGTAATATTTAAGTCATGTTTAAAATTGTTAAATGTGCCTTTTTCTACTAAGTTCGTTATTTTCCAAGATCTCAGATTGTATCATTAGATGACCAGCAATTCTTGATTTCCAAATAATACACGGTATGAAAATGTTACTTCACCAGTTTAATACATAGATACATAATTAATATACAATAAATTAATTTTTCCACTTAGGACCTTTGAATACAGTGTGTCTATTTATTTGCCTGGTGGCTTCAGTAGGTATAATTATCTCAAATTATCACTTTGGTCACTTACACTAACATCATCATACAACCAATGTAGCATGTTTAACTTCTATTCCGCCACAGTGCTCCACATGAAAAGCACACCGTTCCTTCATTCCACAAATATTTAAAGAGCACTTCCTATGCTCGAGTCCTTACCTTCCTGAAACTCAAATCCTAGAGGGGTAAAGAGACATTTGGCAACCAAGTTATTTAATTATATTAATGAGAAGTAATTAAAAAAGTAAGGAAATGCTTTACTTAAAGACTTGAACAGAACATTCAAGATCTGCAATAAATATGCTACAATATCCATGAGGATATTTTTTCCTTGTTTTATTCTCCACCTGATTCCTAGCACTTACAATGGCAGCTGGCAGACTGTAGATATTTAGTATGTGTTGAATGACTCAAAGAAGAAACAAAGAACAAGCAAGGTAAGGGTGAGGGGTAGGGGCTACAACATGAACAAAGGAATCAAGGCTAAAATAAACACCGTACTCAAAAATACAGGAAATCCAGTGTAGCTGGACCACGTGGGATGAAGAAATGAGGCTACAGAGAGATAAGCAGAACCAGATCATGAAAAATTTTAAGGATCACTAAATTAAAGATTTTTATTTTTGTCCTAAGAGCCATGAAAACCAGTTAAAACATTTTAAGTAGAGAAGTAGAGTGATACAATAAATCAGTATTTAAAATGTTATTCTTGCTAGTTTTAAGAACATAGTAGAAGAAAGATGAGAATAAGCTGGGAAAGCAGTTGGTAGGCTACTAACGTAGCCCCAACAACTGAGGATGGAAGCTATGTCTACACTGGTGGCAATACAAGTAAGAGAGACAAAAATATATTTATGACATACTGGAAGTAACACGTATAACACTTGGTAACTACTTAGATATGGATAATAAAGGAAAGTGAGGAAACAATGAAGATTCCCAGATTTCTGGTTTGTGTAACTGTGTAGATGGAATTTAGGGGCAAGATAAGCTCAATTCTGAACAAGTGGGAGTCTGAGGATGTGAGATATCCAAGTGGAAATGTCAAGCAGGCACCAACGACAGATCTTTTCAAGTATTAATATTTGTTTCTTCATCTCAAAACAATTCATCTTAATTAACATTAGCTAAAGTAATAACCTAAAATCGAAATAATAAACTTCACAGGTCAAGGATTAATGTTCATAATGGGAGTAGCATATACAAAAGTATGCTCTGAGGAATACTCTCTCAAAATGTTGCCTGAAAAAGGGGGTCCATGGACAAATAAATTTGAGCAATATGGAATACTGATTATGTATATTTAGGGATTAACAAATTAAAAACCTCTAAGAAATCCTATGGCAAAAAGAATGTTTAACCTTTTCCAAATTTATTTGGCCTTAGAAGTTTTTGCACTAAGATCTGTTAACAAAGAATGGAACTGGCATGTTAAATGACACACTCTGGGACATACTGCATTATAATATCTGCATATGCTAATAGTAACTACAAACTATAAAGTTTAGCGATCATAAAAGAAAAGCAGAAAATGCCATTCAGTGTTTAGCTAGATCATGATAGAGAACCAAAGCATGGACTAATAAAGAATACTGGTAGAACTATTATTTACTAAAATTTTATGCGCCAAAACTTTTTATGTGGTAGCTTAAGTCCCATCAACACAAGCAAGTATCCTCCATAATAAAGAAAACACAATTTCTATATTAACATAAAAGAAACACATCTTTTTCAAAACCTGTTATCTTGTCTAAGATGTACAGGCAGCCCTACCAACTTTCCAGAGAACGTAAGATGTACACAGGGTTAGAGGCCATCCTATGATTTCCTATGACAAACAAGACAGAGCCTTAATACAAGCAAAGTGGCTGCTAAATGTGAAGTCTGTTAACGTTAATACCTGGACGCCAGTGCTAAATTCAGATTTGTCCTAGGTCAGAAAAAAAAATCACCAGGGTGCTAACAAATTTGGGAAAAAACCCCATAATTCTCAGATGAAGCAAAATAACCTGAACCGTAAAAAAATGCTGTGGCATCAAACGATGATAAATATAGGCAAGTACCAATTACATTGATGGCATTAATGTCTCTGTACTTCAAAATGTAAACATTTTTACATTTAATTTTAAACATCTTTTTGCTAAATGTTACAAAATGCTAATTTGTAATAATTTCATAATGTCACTAGATTTTTCTTACAAAAAATAATCATATAGCTAAACTAGAGAAGAAAGTAGTTTATTTTCCTTTATAAACATCCACAGCACCATCTATAGGCAAAACTTAAGTAAGCATGTTTTCAATACAGTTCTCCAGTAAAAGTCTGGGCCTTATAGCAATTTAATATAATATGCCTATATATGTACAGAAGATCTCTTGTAAGAATACCTGAAAAGGCTTTAATAGATTTTGTTCTCAGGGAGGAGAGCTAGAAAGGAACCAAACTTACTAGAAGTAGAGGGACTTGGGTGTAGAGGTAGAACTGCTGCCACCCCTCATTAAATGAACGATTTTATCTACCAGGTCTGAAACATTTGCTAACTTCTTCTCTCTTTCCTGTATTTGTCAGAGACTACCAACAATTACTGATTAGGATGAGGGGATACATTTTCAAATTGACCACCATGCCTACTACATCTGTTCATCTTTAGCATACTGGGTAGTTGTGGTGAAACGTACTTCCAGCTGTAATTCTGTATACTTTCTCCTAAGTTCAGTGACTTCTTCTCCAGCTTGCATCTTCTTATATAAATCCAGTTCCGTATCAAGCAATTCTTTCTGCATCTAGAAAATGGTAATTAATAATTTAAATGACAATAATTCATATCCTACATTTATAAAATGTTTAATAGAAAATGTTTAATATATATATTACTTATATATATAATAGTTTCTGTATTTTTATATATATATGTATATATGTATAT